TGCCATCCCAGGCGGCGCGCGAACTTGTGAACGCGCAATCCGGGGCGGAGAGCGGGCTGCGACCCGGGGACACGCCCACCGCTCCCTGCCCCCAGAGCCCTATCGCGCTCCGCCCCTGGCCACGCCCCTCTCACTAGGTCTCGCGCGGACACGCGCCTGGCTCCACCCACAAGCGGGGCCGCGCGCCCCCGGCCCTAGCCGGCCCCGGGAGGAGCGCAGGGTACTTACTTGTGGAAAGAAACCGGCTTATCCTTATCGTATCGGTTTTTGCAGCCGTAGGCGGAACACGACTGCACCATCCTTCCGGTCCTCAGTTACTTCACTTCTGCCGCCCCAGCAGGCAGTTGAAGCTGCTATCAGTATCGCCGCACTCGGCTTTGACACCTTCGCTTCTTCTGTAGCTTTGGCCAACAGTTAGAGTGATGAGAGCCTCACTCGGGGGGTGACTAATGTGCCCGTTTTGTTGTTTGCTTTAGCAGAAGGACCACAGCCATCGCCCGTCTCCCATCTCCAAGATGGCGGAGGCAGCTTCAACCTCACCTCTCGCGAGGAGTGCGTCCTACTGTCTCTGATTAGCCCTGAGGTCAGAGGTAACGTTCCCTGCGAGGCAGGCCATTGGCTGAGGCCCGGCGTGTCGCGCGGCGGGTCTCGGCGTTGCAGAAGTGGGCGTGGCCTCCGAGCTTCCGGAAGGAAGAAGGAACTGCCTGGGAGGAGGGGAGGTGGGCTGGGTTCCGCCTCCGCGGAGTTTCATCTGGTTATTTATCCCCGGCGATTTAGGTTGGAGAACTATACGGTCTGTGGGCGCTGCTGGCCTAAAGCAGGACAGGTGTAAAGTTGAGGTCTTTGGGTAGTTGCGCTCGTTTCTTTAAAAGGACGGCCGCAGATGGCGTAATTTGTAAAACTTGGTGGATCCCTTTCCCGGACCGCTAGTCTTCACCCCCTAGGCTGCTTCTTCAGGTGTTCCGAGGTCTGGGCGGAGCGCAGGTGTCGGAGTTAAGCAGCGAGAGAGGACACCCCGGCGCGCACCCCAAGCCCAGGCTTCTCCGGGGTTCTCGGTGGCCCGAGGCCACCGCGCTTCTTAGGGCCTAGTGATCTCCGGGGTCTGTGCTGGGCGTCGCGGACTGCTGCAGGGGTTCTCACGTCGGAGAGAGGCTTTGCCTCCTTGGCCCGCCCCTTTCATCTGTGTCCATCGTGGGCTGTTGAGTAATCCTATGGCTCATATATATATATATATATTTTTTTTTTTTTAAATTGTTGAGCAAGAGTAACCTAGGCCCCTTCTTCATAGAGCTTGTGTTCTAGTGAGGGTAAGACAGACAGTAAAAACGTAAATAAAATCACATTGTGCCAAGATGCCTGCATACTGTGCTGTAAGGGTGAATAAAGGTAGAGGGTCACTGCCTCCGGTCTGAGAAGGGAACATTTAACCTGAAAACCAAAGAATAGGGGGAAAAAAATCTAGCAATGTAAAGAATGAAGGCCAGCACGGGGAGTGAGTGCTAAGACCCTGAAGCAGTGAAGAGTTCTGTATTTTCTAGGAACTGGATGGAGGCTGTGGTGTTAGAGCCCAGTGAGCCACGGGGAAGGGCACGGAGTGAGGTTGAAGAGTAGGTG